GGATGATTTTGGACTTGGTCTCCAGTGGTACATCCTTACACTTGTGGATCTTTTCTAATTCCATCATTAATGCCCTTCCAAGTCTCAGTCTTCTGATTTCTTGGCTACAGCCTTCCTTTGAATTGACAGTATGGCCTATGGTGAGTGTCGTTGTAGTATACAAACAGTTGGAAAAGGTCTTCAGTCAAATAATACTTTGCTAGTCTTTAAAGAGCCGCTATTCTAAGATCTGGAGGACCACAGTTCTCTCACCCTTGCTTTCAGCCATCAGAAGATCACCTGTGTTAAATCCAATTGTTGACCAGTGAATCAGTAGCACTTGCAACTAGATCTACTCAAGCTAGAACTAACAGTTGGATTGGGCCTTAATTTTTTTGCTGCAACAAACTTTAATGGGCCCACATCCCTGGAAGTTACCCTACAGGAGACTTCAGAAGCATCCATTAGTCCAGAATAAGGCAGCAAGAACTATCCAGTTTTACCTGTTCCAGAAGAGGAGGAAGAATTAATAACTTCTGAACATAGGTGGCCACTTGAGGAGACATAGTACAGGATAGGATGAAGTTTGGTCTTACCCAGCATGGTGGTGTTCCCCAGTCCTTGTTTCCTCCTACTGTGAGGTGCTAGAAGTAATGCTATTTCCTTATACTTTATCTTACTCTCCATCTTTGTGGTTCCATGCGACTTTCCAAAAATGACTTCTTTCTGAATTGATTGCTTCTCATCCCACCTCTCTCTCCAGACCTGATCTTACAGTGGTCTTTTTGTTAAAACATCTCTTTCACCCAACAGGTCATTTTGTGCTGAGATTCCACCTAGAATTTTGCCATACCCGACACCTCTGTCTAGTGCCATCTTACGGCCCAGCTGATGTTATCTGAGCCTGGGCCTTCTCATGATTTTAAGGGCAAGGGACACAGTAAGGCTGATGAATTGGTTGGTTTCTTTATCTCTCAGCAGATCTAGCCCAACCATTAGCTTGAGTGATGTGGCTGTCATGAAGTGGTGACATGGCAAATATTGGATTTTTTTTAAATTGTAATTTTGCCACAAGGGATGGAGAGAAACATGTGTGATCTTCTGCCTCCTATGCCAAAACATTCTGACTGACTTTAGTGACTATGTGCTACAAAGGTAGGAGGGATCACTTTTGCTGATACAGTGGACCCTCGACTTACAGACGGCTCGACTTACAGACTTTTCGAGTTACAGACTTCTCTGGCTGCAAAATTTAGATTCGACTTGCAGCCAGAGAATCGACTTACATACCAGAAAAAAACCAAAATGGAATAAAAATAGAATAAAAACCACTGGTTATGGGATTAATCGGTTTTCAGTGCATTGTAGGTCAATGGAGATTCGACTTACAGACTTTTCGACTTACAGCCACCATTCCAATACCGATTAATTCCTTAAGTAGAGGTTCCACTGTACTTCTCAGGCAGCAGGAATACCTTGGGCTGATCCTGTACCACAAGATTACATAAATATGACATGCAGCAACATCTCCATGTCAGAGTTAGGCTGAATATCAGGAAAAGCTTCTTAACTGTTAGAGCAGTATGACAATGGAACCAATGACCTCAGAAAGTGGGGAGCACTCCAGCGCTGGAAGCATTCAAGAGAAAATTGGACAAGCTGTCAGACCTGCTTTGATTTGGATTCCTGCCTTGAGCAGGGGATTGGACTTGATGGCCTTATAAGCCCCTTCCAAGTCTTCTGTGATTCTATGAACATCAACCAAACTAACTGAAAGGTGATGCTGTCCTCAGACACAATGATAGCCTTTTCAGCTGGTATTGTCCAGATGTTTTTGAATATACCACCAAACAGCCTGGCCTCCACAGCTAATGGTCAGTCTAAAAAAAAGTAGAAACATCTGGACAATACCAGAAGTGAAGCCAAAGTGGGCATGTTGTGAAGCCTTAAGGGAACTCTTTAGAGGCAGGAAGCATGGAGGAAATTTTGGACTTTTGCTGACTAATGCTGTGCATCCTCATCTTGTACAGTTACTTTGCTTTTGTTCAGACCGAGCAGCAGATGAACCCAGCTGAGCAGCATATCATTCAAGAGCACATTACTGTCAGCAGAGAAGATAATGGCTTGCTGTAGATGATGCTGCAACATACAATTTAAAAGCCACTCCACACTGCCTCACTCGCAAATTGAGCATGACTATGTGAATCATCTCTGACCCTTATTTCCTGGGTGACGTGCCTGTTCACCAACGAATAGTCAAGTTAGAAAGGAGCCCTGCTCTTTTCTATGGCACTGACTCAGCAGGCCCTATTTTCTCAGACTCAGAATTGCTCCCACACTGCTTCTTCAACAACTGGCCATCATCCAGGAAAGAAAGCTGACCCCATCCTCCACAGTGCCTTTTCTGTTCCCTTTGCAAGGTTGCTCCCAACTCTGCGTATCTCCCTCCTTGTTATTTCCTACATGTATGGTTTATTGCGCTTGCAGTTATATCAACAAGTGTCTGCTGGCGCTCTGGACATAGTCAGTTCTCTCCAAAGATCTTTGAGGCCTTTGTTGTTTAGAGCCTCTTGCTGCCAACATCTTGCTCATATTTTCTTTCCAGTTGGCACCACCCTCGGCCCTGCTCAATGTCAGCAGATTCCTCGGCTCTACTTAGTGGTAGGTGTGCGGTGCTGTGCAAGAGCAGAAAGCAAAATCCTCCAGTCTCGATTTTAGCTTTTAAAATAAGTTTGCTACTATTAAAATTGATGATAAGAGCCCAGGACTAATTAAGATCCCAGTCCCACAATCCTGCACTTATTGACTTACAGCAAAGTCCCACTGAGATTGGTGGAATTTCCATATGGGTGTCTGGGTGAAAGAATCCAACCGAAGGCATCCTCATCTAGAGCCAAACATTTTTTTAAATACCTCTCATGCTACAGTTCCTCCTTATTGCCTCCTGTGTCAATGTCAATATTTTATTTATTTATTTATTTATTTATTTATTTATTTATTTATTTATTTATTTATTTGTTGAATTTATATGCCACCCACTCTACCCAGGGGTCTCTGGGTGGCTTTTACCTGGAGAATAAGAGGCCCAGAACAATATGTACATCATCCCCCAAATAAAATCATAAGAGTGGCTCTGCTGAATGGATAACAGATATTTTAACCATTTTCTTATTTTTTTAAAAAAGAGGGGGCTGGTGAACTCTTACAAGCAGATGAGATGGAGCAAATAAGATTTCTAGTAGCTAAAACTCGGTACCCTAAAATTCCTGACCAGCAGAAACGGAGTTTTGGATAAATTAACAGAGTTGTATGTAGGCATCCTTCAGTCTCAAGAGACTATGGTAACATGCTCTGAATAGAGGTTTTTTGAACAATGTCTCGTGTGGTTGAAGGCCAATTCGAGAGTGACCATCCCTTCCACACTGAAGACAAATACAATCCGTCCCGTCCAGCTCCCTGATTTGGCTGGTTTGGGACTGCCTCTTGGCCTCGGCCTGCTGAACAAGTGCCTCTTCAAATTGGGAGAGGCCATGCTGTATATTGTCTCCCTGCTTATTTAGCTTATATGCAGAATACATCATGCGGAAGGCTGGACTGGATGAATCCCAAGCCGGAATTAAGATTGCCGGAAGAAATATTAACAACCTCAGATGCAAATGATAACACTCTGATGGCAGAAAGTGAGGATGAATCAAAGATCCTTGTAATGAGGGCAAAACAGGAGAGTGCAAAAAAATGGTCTGAAGCTCAACATCAAAAAAACTAAGATTATGGCCACTGGTCCCATCACTTCTTGGCAAATAGAAGGGGAGGCAGTGGCAGATTTTACTTTCTTGGGCTGCCATTCTCACGACATGCCCAAGCCAACATAGACATCACTGTTTCAGTAATGTATACATGCTAACAATTCCAGCTCATTCTAGGACTACTCTATTTGGAACTTTGTCCTGCTAGGTGATGCCAAAAATGTGTTGGAGATAACACATATGGAATGTGTTCAGCTTCCTCTCCTACCGCGCACAAAGGGTCCGGGACTCACTGCAGTACAGGAGTCTACTCAGGACAGAGGTGTCACTTTTCAAAAAACAACATGCACTACTAAAAGTGTTCTTGATAGCTCCTCCATCCGACATCTCTAGGTACTGCTGTTTGAAAAGCCTGGATAGATGTTGGCTTCAAAGCAAAGAATTTCTAAGCGCTGGCACAGGGAACCTTCCTACACTCAGTTTAGAAAAAAAAAGGTCAAATATCTCAAAATACAACAGCATTTCCTGATACATGATATGTTTCCTATACTCAGGTTTGAGGATCAGAAGCAATGGAGGCATCGTATCTAGCCAAAAGGCAGAGATGGGAACTACAGTTGGTCTGTTTTGCTTTCCAAGCCCTGTGATGCAGAAACATCCATATGTGTCATTCATAGAAACCACATTCTGTATGACTTCTCAACACAGTGATGCCAGTCTTTGTGTGGTTAGCAACAGATGACTGTTGTGTGACCTCTAAATGAATACAGTGTATCTTTTCAATTTAAAAAAATGCTTCAGTTGATAAGACACCTGAAGTTGATGCAAAGATACACACAAGTTCAGGAGGGCAATTTGTAATCCAACACCGTCCGGAAGACCACAGATCACCTACCCCCTGCTGTAGCAGGTTAAAAAGCCACAACAGAGCAAAGAATGGTCATCTACTACAGCAGTTCCCAACCTTGAGAAACCCAGGTGTCCTTGGACCACAACTCCCAAAAAGCCCAGCCCATAAAGCTACTGTTGGAGGTTCTTTGAAGTGCAGTCCAACAACACGTGGGTTACCCAAAGATGGGTAATCCCATTCAGCCTACTGTAGGTGCACGGGTTTATTGAATCTTGAAGCAGAGAGAAAGATCCAATTGAAAGAAATCCAAACACAGATGAAAATGAAGCACTGCATGGGAAAAAAGGAAAGGCTTCAGGGTTGTCTCTATTCTATCCTGCGTTCTTTTGTCTACAGAATAAAACAAGCCACATTTACTTGGAAGTCGGTTTATTTTCTTCAGACGAAACTCTTTTTTTGTAACAAAAAAAGTCACAATGCCATGCCCCACCCCTTCCTCCCACCACCCCCCCAAACCATCACAGCAATTCAGACATCATAGTTGGGATTTTTCCGCAGAATAACAAAGCCTTCCAGAATGGGCGTAACTGGTATATGTTCCTCCGTGGCCAACTCTGCCCGTTCACCGTGGGCCAACAGCACCGGTGTCGTGTGAGTCTGGAAACCTGTGATAGTCTTTGGCTTGCCAGCCTGACCTACCACATCCACAGCCTGAAAGGGAAGCCAGACATTAGGCACCTCTCTGTGTCCAGGCTCCCTCCCTTCCAATCCAGGGCCTTCCTACCACTGACAGAGTCTTTAGAGGAGGTAGAAGTGTGTCACATTCAAAGCTTGGAAATGTCACTGTCGAGCAATAACTTCCAGAATCCTATTATCCCAGCACGCAGGCTGGGGATCCTGTGAGCTGTAGTACAACACAAAGAAGCCTCTCCAACCTTTATCCGTATCGCCCTTCTCCACCGAGGCCACCAGCTCAGAAGCCCAATCTCCCCTCCGATCCCTCCAGGAAGCAGGGCCCTCCCTGGCCTCTATTCCCAAAGTCTCTTACCTGCCCTACTCTCACCGATACCGGCAGTGGACGCAGCTCCTCATCAAAGGTCACGAGCATGCGTGGCTGCATGGCAGCCACAAGGCCGTACAGCACGTAGTGGGATTTCCCCAGGATGACTAGAAGAAAAGGGATGACAAGAGTCACACCCAGTGGAACCAGAATCCCACTTGAGAGCCCTGGGTCACCACCTCAGGCTAGAAGGTTGAGAAGAAATGGCTTTGTTTGCAGGACACAACGATCACCTCTCTTAACCACCACTTTAAACACATAATAACAGGCAACTGAAAAATCTTCTACTCTTACGGACTGAAGGGAGCGCCTCCAAACTTTAAGTAGAGAACCAGAATACAACACAGGTGTGGTTTTCTTCAGTCCGGCCACCCCTGCTCCATCAGAGACACAGAACAGGATACACTTCTCATGCAGAAATCACGTGATCTGCACTTTGGCACGTGGCACTTTTTCCTGGGCCAGGAGCCCATGTTCAATGGCTCCAAGGAGCATGCTGTCCATGCCCAGCCATCCCTATCTAAGGACAGAACACGAAGCAGCATCTGGAGGTTGAGGTCTAGACACAGACAAGCAATGTCAGGTCAGTGCCACCCTCCCTTTCCAACCTGGTCTCTCTCTCCACCCTGGAGTTCTGCAGACTCTCAAGACAGTGCTGCCCAACAATGTGAAGACGATGGAAGGGTACTGGGGAAAGTAGAACTCAGGCTTTATGGTACTGAGGACTGCCCTAATCACCACCACCACCACCTTGGAACTGCAGAGCTGGAAGGGACCCCATGGCTCATCCAGTCCAGCCCCTGACAAGGAGGCACACTGGGGGAATCGAACTCCCAACGTCTGGCTTCACAGTCATTGCCTAAGCCACTGGAGGGGTGGGAAACTAGCCCTAGCTAATGAAGTCAATGGTGCAGGGATGGTGGAAGTTTTATTCAAACAACTGGGAGGGCCATGAACTGTTCCCTTTCTGCTCTGGGAAGAAACAGTTCCGGAACATGAGTGTAGCGTTCACCCTTGTTATGCAATAAGTTATGTATTATTCATGAGTGATATGTTAATGTGGTTAAGAGGCGGGGCCAAAAGATGTTAAAAGGCAGAGCCTGAGAGAGGAGGAGTTAGTTGAGTTCAGTCTGTGTCGGGAATCAGAGAGAGGAGGAGGGGCCTCAGGAGCGATTAGTTGGGAGTGTAAACTGTGATAATAATTATAGAAGGTTAATATTGAAGCTTGATGAAACTTGCAAGATGGTGCTTATGAATTGTTCCAGAAACCAACTGTAATCAATAAACCTGTTCTATTAAAAAGTCAGTACTGAATGGACCTTCATCTTTCCTAAGTAAAGTAAGTTGATAAGGAGGTCAACTGGTTGGCAGCGAGTCAAGAGGTGTTTTGGTTTGCCTTTGTGAGCTCTGCGTTTAGTGAGACCAACAGGGGCCACGAGGGCGAACGCCACAATGACATGCAATTCTGACTATCAAAAGAGGTGAAAGCTGTCTTTCGCGCATAGGCCTTGCACCATTTCAGGATGGTGCTCTGCCTCCAGCTGCAAGCACGTACAATTCAAAAGCTTCTGCGGGTTGGAACTCCCTGCCTGGCTCCGGAGGGGGGGCAGTACTTACTATTACGCACATCCAGGAAGGAGACTAGCACAGTCAAGAGGCCGGCCACAGCCACCTGGCTCATGAGCTGCCGGTCACTGTGGTAAGGGCAGAGGGTGAGTGTCCCTTTCCCAAGGTGTGTAAGACCCTGCGAAAGAAAAAGGGTAACCTTATTGGTGGCACAAGAACCCACAGCTGGGGTCCAACAGACAACTACATTCTAATCCCTCAGCCAATACACAGGCAATGCACAGTCTACCAGGGAAAGCACACAGGAGTGTGGGTTTGGCAGGAGCAGAACTGGTAGAAGTTCCTTTTTTATATACTATAATTCCCAAGTATCCTGCACTCCGCGTGAACAAAAGACCTCGGTGGGTGCAGGATTCTGGGAGTTACTGTATAAAAAAGGAGCTCCCTCTAATCAATATTCCGATCTTACAATTGCCATCAGTCCAGTGAAAAAGACCAATACAGGCTGGCAGAAAAGGTGGTGGTTTATGAACGTGGGATATTGTGCTTCTGCATTCATGATTCAAAATACCAGGAAACAGCCCAATACAGTTGTACAAGACTGTCCTGGGGTTGCCAGCAGGGAAAAGGATGCAGAGCTTTACTCAGCCTGAACACTGACAACACCAAGGGCAGCAGTCAAAAGATGGTCTATAGGATCCCCTTTAAAAAGTCCAACGGATTATCTCTGGTCAGACAGCAATGCTCTGCAGCTTTTTTCTTGCTTCTAAATCTTCCACCATTCAATGTCTCTACCCGTTGTCCTGATTCCTTTTTTCAAATTTATTTTTCACAACGTTGCACTCTTTTGCCTTGCACCCAGTTTTATATACTGCTGTAGCATTAACACATGCTGCTGGAACTTACTTTGGTTTTTATTACGTACTCTCTTTGAGATGTTTGCATTTTACATCTTTAACAGTCTCTGGTAATGAACTCTGATTATCGGGCATTCTTAAAGTCCAGTGAGAAAGTAACATTTAAAAAAAATAAAATGTAAACCACTTTCAATTTTTTGTGTTATCTTTTTTTCTCTCCAAGCCCCAAATATGAAGGCAACCAACAGTTCTCCTACTCATTGCCCTTTTCTATCCAGATTCCTAGCTTCATACTATGAAGGATCTGGGAGGCTACATGACCCAATCCCATGATTCATGTGAGTCCGACTGGAAGCCAAAAATAAATAAATAAAAATGGATGGAGCGGCACAAGGTTTCCAGTACTGAAAGCAAGGGCTTCTGCAGGGTTCCCATCTGCTCCCAACCACCAGCAAAATAAAAATAAAATAAAATGTAGAATTAGGTGCAAAAGAATTCACCAACATCCTCTTATTTACCTAAGTTATAAAACTCACATACTTCCTGGGTGCAGAATTTGTTTCTGACTGCTTTCACTCTAATATAAGCCTCCTCAATCAATGACATACAGTGGTACCTCGCAAGACGATTACCCCGCAAAACAGGTTTTTTGCTAGATGTTGACTTTTTGCAATCGCTATAGCAATTCCCAAAATGGTTTTTCCTATGGGGGATTTCGCTGGACGATGATTTGGTCCATGCTTCACAGACCTTTTTTTGCAAGACGACAATTTTTACAGCTGATTGGCGGCTTCGCAAAATGGCTTCCCTATGGGCGATTTTCGCTGGACGACAACTATTTCCCCCCATTGGAATGCATTAAACGGGTTTCAATGCATTCGAATGGGGAAACGCTTTTTGCTAGATGATATTTTCACAAGACAGCGATTTCAATGGAACGGATTAACATTGACTAGCGAGGCATCACTGTAATGTTAATACTTGAAAGCTTCAGGTTCTGTCCGATCATACGTGTGCCTTTGCCTTTTCTTCAACCACCAGAGACAAGGGTTGACATTCTCACAGAGGTTGCTATGAGTCAAATGTTCCATGCTGAGTCATTAAGAGACAATTTAGAACCCAACAGTGCACATAGGTAGTACTGACAGCTCCCAGCGTGTCCATTCTTTTATTTATAAAATCTGTTACTCTCGTTCTATCATAAGCATTTGAGACAGGCAGACATTTGAGGCACCTAATCTACTCTCCCCCCACCCGTCCTGTGTAAGAGGATGAAAAAAAAAAACACCACAGACTTTTCTAACATGGAAGGGCATTAGGCTGGGGAGGATCACTGTACAAAGATTCTGAGACCATGTTAAGAACAGGGTGGGCAATGAGAGGTCTAGAAGGGAACCCCCAAGGATGAGAATGCCAAAAAACCCACACTCCAACCCCCCTCGTTAAAAACACTTGGGGACGTGTGGATAATTCGATTACATTCTGAGGAGCCCACCAACCCCCAAATCCATGTAATTTTTTTCCCAATGGTCACAAAAGGATGCAACAAAGACCTCTGAGTTTTTTTCAAAAAAAAAATTATATGAAAAACATTTTGGGGGTGGGCATGACTTTCCTGAGACCTCCAGACGATGAATGAAATTTGAAGACATTTCAAAAGCTAAACTATGTCAGCAGCAACAAAGGTGGACAAGAAAGAACTGAGAGGGGCTGATGGGGTATGCAGGGATGTATGCGATGGGGCGTGGGGATGCCTGCTACCACAAATTTCTCAGTTCTGGGATATTCTGCCCAGCAGCGGAAGCCCATTTGTGTTTGTGGCAGAGACCTGTCGCGAAGTTTCTTCTCCAGCCACTCAATGAAGAAAATCGGCTCCTTGGAATTTTTGGGAAGTGGGGACACACAAGAAACAAAGCTCTCCTCCCCTGCACCTCCTTATGTTACAGATCCAATGCACACTTTCCAGCACCCGGAAGCAGCTTTTCAGAACAAGCTGCAGAGCATGGCCAGGCTGTTGCTGAGGCACCATTTTAAAATGTTCAATTTCACAGAATGCTGGACAAGAACAGGCATGTGTGCCTCCCTCTTAAAGCACCAACACACCCTAATTTCATCCTTATACCTGCGGGCAGAGATTCGGAGATCCATTACCTGAGCCAACCGCACCATAAAGAGGTTATTGGGGTCCTTGGCGTGATACTGCGCCAACTGCCTCAGCATGGCAGCCAGACGGGCATTGTTGGTCCCTGAAGAGGAAAGGGAAAGACAGGATCAGGGGGCAAGCAAAGCAAAAAAAGGCTCAGCCATCACATCAGGAAGGAGGAGGCTGCTATGCCAAGCAAAGGTGCAGAAAAAGCTGGGAATCTTTAGTTCTTCTATGGCTTTATTTTAAGAGATGCTAGAGCAGTGAGAGTCAACTCTTGACATGACTGCACAGAGCAGCATAAAAGGCCATGGGATTTCAATGTCTATCTGTTGCACATGTTTTGAAAAGAAAGGGTCCCAGATTCAATTGCTGACAGCTCCAAGGAAAACTGCCTCTTTGAAACCATAGGAGAGTGGCGTTCCAGACAGTATTGTAGGCAATATCAAACCAGATGGGACTAGCCACCTGGCTTGGTTCAAGGCAGCCTTCTGTAGCCTTCAAAGGTGCCACAGACTCTTGGTTTCTCCCATCCCACTGCAACAGACTGAAAACAGCTCCTGTTCGGGAAAATGTTAAAAGCAGAATGATCCTAGAACGAGCAAACCTGAGCTTCCTATTCAGGGGCTTCATCTCATCTGGCCCCATTTCGCACATTGAGGCCAAAATCCTACTGTGAAATACCAGGCACGTAAAGGGGGATTGCACAAGTGAAGTCTGCATTTTTCTGGCCACATGTGATGGGACCGAGTGCATGATCTGGGCTTGTCCAAGCACATGGCAACCAGCCAACAAGAATGCACATACTCCTTATGGGCTGGCTGGCTTACGATGAGCGATTTCTCATAGGGTGCTTACCAGAAGAAGTTTCTCTTCCCCATTTATGAGAGGAACACACAGAAAGGGTCATTTTTCTGGACTACAGTTTCAAAGTTGCCCAGCTGATCATGCCCGCTGAGCAATTCAGAGTTGCAACTCTTCCAAGACCTGTGCCAAACCCCATGTGTACTCAACCACTAACAACTCTCCCCCATATTCCCGGGCCAGGCCTTTCCTTTCCTCTTATTTGTGACACATACTGTAACCTCTCATGATCAGGGACATAATGAATGGTGCACCCTGAATATCAGAACAGTGCAGTGTGGATCTTTCAGGGTCCTTTAAGATGCCCAGGTTACATGCCCTTACCGTCCCCCCAAGATTCTAGGATGCACACTTACCACTGCCCACCATGCCCATGGCAAAGATGGAGTTATAGGACACCTCTGGGTCAGCGTCATGGGAAAACTTGCTGAGGGTGTCGAGGATATTGAGCCGGGGGTTGGAGACCGAGATGAGAGCCAGGGCTAAGGGTACAGCCCGGCGAAGAGTTGGTTCCCCATACCGCAACTGTAGGAGCAAGACGAGAAGGTGGCTAGACTCCCAAAGGTAGTTCACTGAGAGCACCTCTCTCAACGACATGTCCAGCAACCAAACTACCCTAATTCCATCCGTCCGTCCGTCCGTCCGTCCATGCCAGGGCTAACAGCCCGGCGAAGAGTTGGTTCCCCATACCGCAACTGTAGGAGCAAGACGAGAAGGTGGCTAGACTCCCAAAGGTAGTTCACTGAGAGCACCTCTCTCAACGACATGTCATGTCCACAAACTACCCTAATTCCATCCGTCCGTCCGTCCGTCCGTCCATCCATCCATCCTCCCTCCCTCCCTCCCTCCCTCCCTCCCTCCCTCTACTTCGGCACTAATCGAGCCCAAAGC